GCAGTTATTTGCTATTCTTGTGTGGTTAATAGCTATAAAAAAGTAGTAATCAAAACTTTAAAAACAAATATAGTCAATAGTAAAATTAAAGTAGTTAATAACCATATAAAAATAGTCAATAAAAGTAAGGACAATGTTGTCATTTCATAATATTTTAAAATTCCAAAATAGTACAAAAGATCTGATTTTAGATTTTAAAATTTACCCACTCTAGTTTGTCCTTTAACTTTTTTAAAGTATTTTATTATCTTTTACCCTTATTTATTCTCTCTTATTTGCCACATTTTCTTTTATCATATTTTTTTATACATTCTCTTTCATTTTTTTCTCATTTATTATAAGGATATATTTGGAAACAATATTATATTTCTAACTTATTTATTGTTTTTAACAAATTGTTTGTTATATGCAAATTAGTTATTTAAAGTTCATTGATAGGACTGGAGAGAGTATTATTTATTCCATTTAGGTTGATCCTATCGAAACTCAACCAATTCTAAGATGATATTCTTTTTTATTTTTTTGGTAGGTACATATATCTTCATAAGACAATCCTATTTGAGATACTGGCAAGTACTAAATGTGAGTACCTCTCCTAATAGGAATTCAAATCTTGGTTCATATTGTGAAGAACTAGCCCCTTTTGCTAGACCTAACCTTCTGTTGATAATTTTAAGATGATATTCACATAGAGACAATATTAGCAAGTTAATTTGACTCTAGATTGGCCGGCATTTTTTGTGGAACCAAGGCCAAGACTGCAAGAAAATGCAACTTATATCCCATAATCAAATCAAACAGTGCAAAGAAATAGGAGGACTTGGTATTAAGGATTTGCAGAATCAGAATATGGCTTTCATCATAAAACTCGGCTAGGTCTACTTACCAAGCCTAAAGCTTTATGGGTGTGATGTCTCAAAAGAAAGTATGGCTGTGGTAATGAGATCTAACTAAGGGTTTGTGAGAAAACAAAATTCATCAAGAGTGTGGTGTAGCATTACCTTAGCTTGGGACAAGTTCTATAAAGGAATTGGCCAGACCATCAAAGGTGGAAGTACAACTAGCTTTTGGTGGGATCTTTTGTCCCCGTTTGATGAGCCTCTCATATATTATATTGAGCACAATCTCCACACCCTGAATCCCGTGATAAAATGAGAGACTTTATACTTCAAAATGGTATGTGGAATATCAAAAAGTGGAAAAATTCTTGCCATCTTGGATTATCAGTACTCTTACCAAATACCCCTATCAAGTAGTGAAGAGGACAAATTTAGCTGGAGGAATGCCATAGATGGCAATTTTAGCATCAGGCGGTTTACCAATTTGTCTCTTCACAAGCGGAACATCATATGATGGTCCTGTAGAAAAAAGGCATGGGAACTCCTAGTACCAGAGAAAGTAAATTTTTTCTTTTGGCATCTTTCATGATAAACTTCCCACAAATGCACTCAGAGCTAAGAGAGGGTTAACAAACAATGTATAATGTACTTTTGAGTGTTAAAAAGAGGAAAACACTTTACACATCCTTAGTGACTGCGAGATAGCCAGGAATGTGTGGATTGAGATTATTAATCCTAGTCATCTTGTTAGTTTCTTTTGCTTTGATTTGTCGGTATGGCTTAGGAGATGCGTGACCCACAACCTGGGAAATGCACAATTTAGCAGGTGGATATGGACTTGCGCATTTAGCATTATTTGTTGGTTCTTTTGGAGAACCAATGCAGTGAAATCATGGAAAATGCAAGAAGTCAAGCGAAAGAAATTATCCACAATGGGTTAGCTCAACTAATGGAATCCACTATCTATGGACAACTCAAACACCGTATCTTCAATCTTGATGGTTTTGATGATTGTCACTGGAAACCGCCACCGGAGGAATATGTTCGTTTGGATACCAATGGATCTGTCAACAGTAAAAAAGAGGCTGCTTGCGGAGGAATAATTAGAACAGCTTCAGGTCAAGGGATCATTGGATTTCAACGACAATTGGGCTTCATGCAACCTACAGCTATTGAACTATTAGCTTTGCTTAATGGTCTCCAAATCTATCAACAACAGGGCCTTTACAAGATACTTGTTTACATTGACTCAATGGAAGCTTTCAACCTTATTTTTTGCCATGATCACCCACTCATATCAGAAATTAACGAGATCAAAGACCTTCTTTACTCTAACTAGGAGATCGAACTGCGATATGCTCCACGCGATGCACTCAAGTGTGCAGATTTTCTTGCCAAAGGCGCTCAGCATGAGTAGTAGTAACATGCAGCTTTTGCTGCGTACACACCCGAGATGCCCCACACGCAGGGATAAAGCCAGAAAAACGGGCTAAGCCCGTTTAAACCCATTTAAGTAGAGAGTCGGACTTGTATTTTAGAGCATTAAAAGGAAAGTCGAGCTTAAAAAGGCTAGTCCTGTAAGGCCGAAAAATAAACAGGCCTACCCTGTAGGGCCGCGGGCTTGCTCATTTAAGCCTGCCAACAAATTTTTTTTTTAATTTCTACATTTTTCTTCTTAACTTAAAAAAGAAAACTCTAACTTGTTACACATACCACACTCTTAGTTTCACTCATCCCAGCATTTCACACAAACAGAATTCACAAAAAAAAAAAACAAAAATCACTATAGTTGTTGGAAAAATAACAAAAAAAAAGGGTAAAAGTTACAAAATTTAAAACTAGATATATTCACCAAAATGTATTGTTATTTATAAGTTGTCAAAACCTGTTAAAATATTGTATGTGTAATTTTTGCTGTCTTTATTTGTCATTCTCCCATATTTTTTATGCTTGAAATAGAATTAACTAAAGAATCTTTTGAATTAAAATAAAAATCTATATCATTTTTATAGTTAGAAACGAATTTAAAACTAAGGATGATTGACTCTTTTCTTTTTTGCTAGCAAGACGAATGATTATTCTTTATGTATACTATATTTGTTAATTAAACCTTTTTGTTAATTATTTATAATTAAACCAGATCATTGATATTGTAATTATTTACTGAACTTAGTACTTATTTAGTTTATATCTGTCTTTCATTTGGTTTGTTTATTCAATAGATTCTATTACACTGTGATAGATGTTTAGACATGATGATGTTTATATTTATAACTTAATTTTATTTATATTTATGCCTTTTATTAGTAATTTTATTGTTTCATTTTTATTATTTTGACAAAATATGCACACACAAAAATAAAAAAAAAACTGCATTTTAGTTAATGGGCCAAAAGCCCGTGGATCGGTCTTGAGCCCGTCATCTCATAGGCCGGGCTTGAAAAAATTATTTATTTTTAGAACTCGGGTTTAAACGAGTCGGTCCATTTTCCCAATGCCACACATGGGAGACGATATTTCCTAATAACTCGAGCTTTTTCAATCCGCTTCTTTCCACAAGTTATTCTAACCTGCCTATTGTTTTCCAAAAAGATAAAAACAAAGAAAGAAAGTTAATTTGACTCTATTGCTTACGAAGTAATGTAAAAAAAAGGGACCAGACAGGCCGGTTCACCGGTCAGTGGTCCGGTCTGGTTCATAGGCTAAACCGGGGACCGGTGTGAACTGGTCAAAACTGGTATGAACCGGTAATAAACCGGTTTAAATAAATATATTAATATTTATCCTATTTTTTCTCATTTATCTCTTAATATCTCAATTATTATAGATTTAAATGAATTTTGATGATGAGTTTGGTATCAATAACTATTAATTTTAGTTATTGAGAAATTATAAAGATCAAAATTCTCAATATTGTTGTACTTTATTATTATTACAATCAAATTCTTATTGTATTTGTTTATATTTTTTTATTAGTAATTATTAGTATTGTTATATTTTGTCATTTTTAATTAAATTATATATTTTAATATGACCGGTTTGATCTCGAGTTGACCCCGATTTAACCCATTAACCCTTGAACCACTACCTCAACCGGTTTAGTGTCCAGTCCGGTTTTTTGTTCCTTGTTATGAAGTCAAGTTGGAAAACATTTGTTCTTGTTTGGCATCCCAAAAGCAATCAATGTATGTGTGTATTCCGACAATATATTTGTATTTATTATCATGTCCACTTAATGATATAAGAGGCGTCTTTCAAGTTTGCTGGACACTACCATGTCGTGAAAACAATTTTATCAAAACTCTCATTGCACGATTTATTCTTAAAAATGTTTCCAAAAAATAACTATTAAACAATATTCAAACTAATACATACTTCTATCACCACAAATAATGCTTTTTGAAGGTCAAAACTTGAATTTGGTTTACTGAGTAATAAAATTTTCCTGCAAAAGAGAAACGCCCCTACAGTTAAACGCAGCCAAACGGCAGACGCGTGCACTAATGAACTCAGTCCTCTGAGCGGATAACGGATACCAGGCAAGGCCCTCGTTAGACATGGTGCGTGTGTGTAATTGATTTAATGGTATTACTTTCTGTGACATATTTCAGATGAATATAAAATATATCTAGTTAATAAAAACAATATTTTATTTTATTTTTTTGGCGAAACCAAAGACATCCCAAATCATATTGAACTTGAGACTAATCCTTATCGGGCATAGAACAATTAAGAAAAACCCTCCCAAATCTCAACAAATACACTTCTTGAGATTTGAACTTATGTTCTTTTTTTACGTGTGAGGCCGTTACCAACTAAGCTGTTGGTAAATATTTTATTTTTCATCATCATCATCATTCCCTTTTAAAACCGAAGTAATCCCAACCCAACACTCACGGGATTGGACCCAATCGGGTCCAAGGTCAACCTTGGGCCAGTAAAAGGGTTGCTATTTGCGGCCCAATGTGTCCAGCCCATGCACACATCAGGAAAGCATCCCCTCGACCCCGGGATGCGATGCTAGAGCATGATCAAAGTGGGATGGGATAAAAAAAAAAAAAAAATCCAAATCTCCTTGTCCCATTAAGCGAAACTACTTCAAAAGACCTTTCTCAAGCATCTGTTCTAATGACATTTAAGTAACACTTGGTGTCTCCTTTATTCTCAAACTTCAGGGGCTTTGTGACAACAATTTCATTAAATACTCATAAATCTAAAAACCATCCATTGATTATAGAATAAAAATTTATTCTATTTTCACTAACAAAATTGTGTGGTTTTTTTTCTTGGGGGGGCGGTTTTAATTTAAGTTACCCGGTATAACAGTATTTAGTCGGGTTAATCAAGAACTACAAAAAATCTCTATGGACTACACTGTAACAAAAAAAGAAGTCTATATGAACATGGTTGCTTACTAGCGGAAAAGGCTTATCCAGAGCTCACCGTTTCGGTACAAGAAACTACTTCAGTCGCCTCTTCTTGGGTATCTGTTCTGATGGCATTTAGCATTTCGGATCTCCTTTGTTCTTGAGCTTTCCTTCTATTAGTTTCAAGAACAATAAGAAGAGCGGTAATATCTGCAGGGCTCACCCCACCTACTCTGCTTGCCTGACCAATGGTTTGTGGCCTCACCTGAAATCGTTTAAATGATATTACATCGTTCAGTACCAGATAGGGAAAAAATATTGCAGCGATGAAACAGATTCTTAACGGCAGAAGAAACTATCAATACTTTGCAACAGATTTTGGATATAGTAAACATTTTCTTTCACCCCCTTCTTATTCATTCTCCATAATCCAAACAAGCTCTTCAAGAAAAACAACGGTCAGATTCAATCCTAAATGAAGGAGAGGTCTGATTATTTTTCTCTTCCTTTCATAAGCATCAGTAACATAATGACGAGTTTCATATTCCATGAGACTCCGAGGAGATCTCATCACTTTTTTCATTGGGATAATTTGTATAATACTTAACTCTAATAATAACCTATATGTACAGATGCATGCTACAAACCTTGGAGAGTTTTTCACGCGCTTCAAGAGACAAAGTTGTCATTGCATGATAATTCAAGTCCACAGGGAGTGGTCTATGTTGTTGGCCGACCATCTGCAGGTAAACCAACACAGCCGTGTAACTACACATTCAGTACACCTCTGATAAGTTAAAATGCGTAAATTTTAAATTATAAATAGCCTGTACCTGTTGAAGTTGGCTTTGCTGACGCAAGATGAAACCTTCATACTTAATATCAATCTCGACACATTCTTTCTCCATTCTTGATAAGTTGCTGTTGCCAAAACCATGCTTATCAAGAATTCCATATTGCATGTGTGGTTTCTTAAGAAGGCTTTCCAGTGTTGAGGAGTCTCTCACTGGCTGACCAGATACACTCATGACATCAGCAGCCAAAGCCCCACCTGGATAGAAGTGAGAAGGATAACGAGCATGATTATGAATAACAAAATATAGTTTTTATAACAGAAAAATATTTTATTACTATGAGAAAGTAGAAGATTGGATAGATAAGATAGGGTGATGCTGGCCGGAAAGGAAAATAAATACTAGGAACCTGAAATCCTAACACTTTTCAATCGCTTCTTTTCCTCAGAAATTCGAGTCTGCTTCTCCTGATACAATTTCCAGCGCCTATCGTCTATCAGCCCAACTTCACGACCCAATGGAGTGAGGCGACTATCGGCATTATCAGATCTCAAGAGTAATCTATGCTCTGACCGGCTAATATGGTGAAGGCAAATTTAGAAATATGTAACTGTCAACAAATGAAAAACGCATCACTGAACATGAAAATTATAACTTCAGTTAACATACCTTGTCAACATACGGTAAGGTTCCCGCAGGTCCTTGGTGACTAGATCATCAATTAATGTCCCTATATAACTGCTCTCCCTTTCAAGAATAACAAGTGACTGACCATCTGCATGCCTAGCAGCATTGATGCCAGAAATTATGCCCTAAAGAGGAAAATATTGTAAATTTTGAGAAAGCTTGTCAGATAAGCAAGATGCCCAAATAAACCAATGTAGTTAAACTGCTTTTTCCAAGGTAAAAGCGATAAAACAAAAATAAACAGTTAAAGAAATGAAGTTTAGAAGAATAAAGGCATAATACCTGTGCCGCAGCTTCTTCATAGCCTGTGGTTCCATTTATTTGACCTGAGAAGAACAATCCTTCTATTTTCTTTGTCATCAGAGATCTAGCACATTGATGAGCAGGCAAAAAATCATACTCTACGGCATATGCAGGCCTCAGCATTGAACAGTTTTCAAGTCCAGGTAAAGTTCTCAACAAAGGTAACTGTAGTCTCTCAGGTAAACCAGTTGAAAACCCCTATGAAAGAAAGCAAGGTTAACCACGTATATTTTATTCTATTGCAAGTGGTATTCTAGAGATCAAGAAGCTATAATTTAACAACTGTAAGGTACTGACTCGTGAGTCATCACAATATTAAAAATTTAGGAACTCCAATCTTCTATTAAACATGCTCAGAGATAGTCAGATTACAACAGAGCAAACAATTAAAAAAACACTGAATTGGAAACCACAATGACTTGAGGTTGACCATGCCTCCCAGGCTCCCAGGCTTAACTCAAGCAGTCAGGGCGGGTGAGAATTTAAGTAGAAATCCTAGGATGAAGTAAAATTAATGATTTTCGGATGTACCAAAAAAATATAGCTTGATTATGAACATCTGGTACAAATTTACAAGGATATTGAGTGCATCTTGCATTTTTTTCCAGCAACAGAATACCGTCTGAACAGAAGAAGTAAATATTGAACATGATTATTTACCCTTTTCTGTACACTCAGAGCAAGAATGGCAATAATTCCATCTCAGATAAAAACTGTTAGCTCTTAGTCGCCCTAAACTTGTCTCTCAGTCATTCGCCTCCTTCAATCTATCACATCTTCATCCTTTGAGACATTAAATGTCTATTCTCTCTCTCACTCTCTCTCTGTTGGTTGTTTCATGAAATCATTAATATTTTAAAATTTCTGACAGTCTTTTAAGAGTAAATGGATGAAAATTGGCAAAAAAAAAAAACAAAAAAAAAAACGGATGACAAACTATGAGTCTTGCACATACTTTAGACATAGCAGTTTCAAACTGTGCATTACTATCTCTTGGGGTGCACATATCTCTTATAAACCCACATTCTTTTGTTAACTTCTTATATTATCTAAATGAACCACCAGCACACAAGATAGAATCATGTCCTTTAGTATCGTTTGATTGTGATTCATAGGAAAGAGAGGAAAACAAATACCTGCACATAGAGCTCAGGCACATGTCGGCCCTCTGGTTCAAGAAATATCTGATGAGACTCTTTATCTTGAAACCTTACAATCTAAAGTTAACAATATTTTATGTCAGAAAAACAAATAGAACTAATTCCAATGCGGCTGATGCTGCAGAGTGCAGACTTCACCTTTTCCTAAAACCATTTCAGACTGATTTTTGGACTGAATATTAAATATGCTAGTGTAGAAAATAATGATACAAAGAAAAACATGATTGTGACTCTCTACCCCCCCCCCCCAAAAAAAAAAAAGGCAAGTGAAGTACTTCTTAAACACACCTTATCTTCAATGGAAGGACAGTATCTAGGTCCTTTAGCTTCAACCCATCCTCCATAGGTGGGAGTTTCATGCAAGTTATCTCTAATTATCTGGTGAGTTCTACTGGTAGTGCGGGTCAAATAGCAGCACATTTGCTCTCTTTCAATATGGACATCAGGATCAAAACTGAACCAGCCGACCTGTCATTTTCAATCAGCATTCCAGGAGAATCCAAGTATAATTTATTAAGACTAATGAGACTCAAATAATTGCATTGTAGCCTATACTCTCTAGCATACTGTCAATCAAGGCAATAAGAGAATGAATTTAAAAAGGGAAAGGTGCAAAAAAAAGAAGAACAGAGAATGGCACTGCCTGCAACTAAGACAAGCAGACGCAATTCTACAAGTAGCAATGTACTAGCATATTTGAATGTGAATTGAGATCATGACACATGCTTAGTAAACATGTAGATTAGTGAGAGTGCGCATGCCTGTGTTTATATGCCATAACACTGGTGGGTTGAGACAAAACAATTGCAAATCACTTGCCAAGAAAACTTTATATGAATCAAAACTCAATCTATTGATTTTAAAAAAAAAAAAATCCTCAATCTATTGAAGACACGTTTTTTTAAAAAAAAAAAAAAAAGAAGGAAAAACATACGGAACATACATATAGGTTCAAATGGAAGCACCTCTCATCTCCATGCTGAGGTTCTAATCCAGAAAAATCAACAGTGCGAATGTCTACGCGGGCTGGGGTTCCAGTTTTTAATCGATCAGTTTCAAAACCAAAGCGCAGCAAGTTCTCAGTTAGCCCATGTGATGCAGACTCCCCAGCTCTCCCCGCAGGCATAGAAGTCCTACCAACCCAAATTTTACCACTCATAAAAGTCCCTGTGGTGAGAATAACGGAGGGAGCATAGAAATTCATTCCAAAAAATGTGCAAACACCTTCCACATTGTCATTCTTCCCCACTAAAATATCTGTGACCATAGCCTCTCGAATGGAAAGATTAGGAGTGCTGCAAAAAAATTTAAATAAATGATGTCCATTGATGAAAATAATAAACAAGCAAATGCATAAAGTATCTGACCAAACAAAAGGCAGCAAAGGACCAAATTAGTTTAGGAGAGGTTGGTTGAGAGTTCATCTTTCTTACAAATTGTAGTCAAGATTGACAATAAGAGCAGTTCTAGAAGAAACTATGAACAATTATACAGCCATACAATTGTGAAGAATCAACATAAACAACAAAGGAAAGATGTGGATAACAATTATATAATCATAGGGAGTTAAAAAGACACGAGATAAAAAACAAAAGAAAATCATCACGGGTATATGCAAACATGGGTTAATTAGTCAATCCCTCCCATCCTGTTCACCATGGAAGTGATTGATCAAACAGATTAAGATCATAAAACATGACAGACAATCAGTCCATAGCTTTAGATATGCGTATGCTCCTTGCTTACCAAGGGTTACAAATTACAGATTTGAGAAGGGGGTCAGCCTGTGATATTAATTTGGAAAGAACAGGTATCAATCCTTTGAGATATTAACTTTAAGCATTTGGCTTTTAAAGCAAATATGTTTGACCGGTAAAAACTGATTTGTCATTTACAAAGCATAAGAGCTACTTTTTCTAGTATTCTTGTATGAATATCATATAATGACAGCATTGCACCACTATTATGTTTTTTGCATTGTCTGCAGATGTAAATAAGCAAGTGAACATTGAGAAGTGCAGGTTATGACATGTATTTGATCATGTTAAACCCATAATCTACTGCCGACCAAAGGGCACTAACCTGGCTCACAAAGCTAGACATATACGAGGTCATTATTTACAGAAAACAACAATTTTATAGACCACCATGTCAAATCTTTTTACAGCAATAAATAGATACAGGAATTAACAAAAAAAAAAATTTATGGACATAGACTTGCCTTTCTACTACATTTTTCATTTGAATGGCATATTCCCTTTTATCAGTCTGAGCACGTAGTGCACGGACAGCAGGACCTCTTGAGATATTGAGTACACGCTTTTGTAAATAGCATCTGAAGATGAATATAAACATGAGCAGCAAATTATCTAAATATTCACTTTTTGAACTAGAGCAATTCATGAAATATGCAACTTATTGGAAACTCCACAACTCAAGCATCTTAGGAAGGTAGTGGGAGTATATCAAAAAGAAAAAAGTGGATATATTCAATGTATAGGGGATGATGCATCAATCGGAAGGAAATAAAGCAAGAAGCGTTATTTGGACTCTTTAAGAGGATTAGAATGGCATGTTGATCCAAAAGTCATTCCATATCTGGAGAACCACCATCTTCTTAGAAGCCTAAAGCTAATGTTTAAGCCAGTCAATGAGGCAGAGACAATAGCTCGTTACTTGATCACCGTCCTCATTTTTTTTGAACAGATACTTTTTTTTCTATGGGTATAAGCTTAAACAAGTTGTGTTTTAGTCTTACCGGGTTGCCATATTGTGTCCAGAAATTTAGGTGAAATCAAATGCAAAATTCATTTTGCGTAAGTTATTGAGAGTGGTGACGTCATATGTGTCCTCTTGTCAATCAAGATTTTCTAATACAGACCACATATGACATGAAAGTATAAAACTTACTAGAATTTAGAAGAGAAACGAGTAATATATTAACCTATATTTTGGCCAAGAAGCAAACTTACAGTTGAATCAAGGACAATTAAATAGCTTAGCCGGTGTTTCAATTTGCCAAGCCCCACACTTCAACATCTTCAAAGTTAGTAAGCATATATTTGGGGTGGGAGGACAGAGAATGCAAACCTTCGTCTCTCTCTGGTTTTCTCCTTCATTTTGAAGGCAGATATCCAGGAAGTACATCTTATTAATGTTTTCACAGAGTTGTACTGGATGAATTTACCAATTTTTTTGTTTCACTATCCTAGGGTTCACAAATAAGCTTCCCCAACTACTTCACTCCAACAATTTCATAATATATTTGAACTGTCCAAAAGACAGCAGCAACTTCTTTTCTTCAGCAAAACACAAGTAACTTCTTTTCGCCACTTTTTCCTTATTTTGTCAAATGCATTAGCATAACCTCCAATGGTCAGAGACTCCAGAAATAACTTATTAGGAAACAGAAGTTCTAGTTATTATATATTAGGCCCTTGTTCTGAGATATATTTTAGTAGCCTTTAAGACTTTGGAGTTTATTTCTTTTTGCCCTTTTTATCAGAACATTTATGAAAGATTGATTATACTTCTAGGACCTCAAAAGAAAAACTGGAATAATAGTCGATGAAATAACTACCAATACGCGTGTGTGTGTCACAAAGAGGGAGGGAGGGAGGGAGACAGAATAAGATGCAAGTTACTATCTTACAATTGCAGTCATGCATAACTGCAACCTCAAAGCATACAGCAAATCTCACGCTAAAGAACTCCATTGGAACTTAATAACTATGTCACACTACCTGTCAGCAATTTTCCCTATTTCACCACCTAGCGCATCAACCTCATGAACTAGTTGAGACTTTGCAGGTCCACCAACTGCTGGATTGCAAGGCTGCAACAAACAGTCTTCATTAGAAACTTGACAAGTTTTGGACTTGAATTACACATCTTGCATTTTTGGGCTTAACTGTTCTCAGATATATGGGAGGAAAGGGAGAGCACATGTCGAAGTGAAGGCAGATGAAATTTCAAACATGGATAAGCTGCTTTCTTGAATTACTAATTATTAACTATTAAAATTCCTTTAACTTATTGTAACGCAAAAAATAATTTCAAATTACAAATTCCTGATGCAGCAACAAGACAGCATTGCCACGGAGAGGTTTGCTAACAAAGGTTTTGATGAACCGCAAGATCTAAGTATCAAAATGTCGGAAAAAACAAAGAAAATACAAATGAAAGACGAATCATGCAAAATGCTAGTAACCTGCCATGCAATCCGATCAATATTTAGCGTGAGGAGAAGAGTTTTTGCCCCCAAGCGGGCAGCTGCAAGTGCAGCTTCACACCCAGCATGTCCTCCTCCAACTACAATCACATCATATTTTTCATCTGCTGCTCCAGCGTAATCCAAATCTGAAAAGTCTCGGATTAGTAAGTATTGGGTAAAAAAACAGTCTGCTCAAAATCCATCAGCTAATTATTAATTTTTCATTTTGGTCTGAGAGAAAAAGGACGTAGCAGCAAAATATTGAGAAAATTGAGTATCTAAATAGTAGCGACTTTAACATGAACATGCAAATTGAAGCCCGAAACAAGAAATTGTCGAACCTGGAGAGCTGGAACGGGCAGAGAAGCGGCGGGATAAAGCGGAGGGAGAGGAGAGTGGACGGCGAAATTGCTTGTGGAAGGTAAGATGATGAGATTTCAGAAAAGCTCGAGAAGGAGAGGATATGGACAAGAGTGTTTTGCAGAGGTGACGACCAAGGCCTGAGAGATTGAGAGCAAGCAGCGTCGCTGCTGCCATTCCAGCGAATTCTCTATCCCCTCACCCGCAACGTAACGCAACGGAACGCAGGAATGCGTGATGTGGTTTTTCGGTTCTTTTTAGTTTTTTTAACTTCTTTTCTCTATTCTTTCTTTCCGTTGTTTTTTTTTTTTTTCAGACAAGTAGTAAAAAGAGAATTTATTAAAGAGAAAATTACAAATAAAAAAGTAGAATATATGATATTCTAATTTGGAAAGTTAAGAAAATATAATGACAAAGAGGGAAGTCTTTCCCAAATTAAAATTTTGAAATTCAGTAAAATGACAAAAATAATATTTGTTTTAAAACTCAGCGTCTCACTGGTGGCCGGTGGTCTGCCGCCGCCGTCGGCCACCGATGTGGTGGCTGCCGGTAGAGTTTTTTGGTCACAGTTTTTTTTTTTGCATAGAAGAATATTGGTTCAAAGTGGGGGGGTGGGATTTGATCCCAAAACCCCTTAGCCATTTGGGCCAACAAAAAAAATAACCATTAGGCCATTAAAGATTTTTTAATTTTATAATACAAATAAAAATATAAGTTAACTCTTCTACTGTGACTCTAACCCATGACAACAATTTACCTGAGAATGACAAGTTTTAATTGAGAAATAACAAGTCTAAATTTGATATTAACAAAGCAACTTTTTTTGATACATAACAAGAAGTAGCATGTATATTAATTAAAAATGACCATAAAAATTATTTAGATGATTAATAGAAAAGCTTGAGAAACTAAAACTTGTTTAGATGATTAATAGAAAAGTAAGTTTAAATATAAAATGACTTAAAAATAACAAGAATTTTATTAAGTAATATATATGTAATATTATATATAATATGACCATTTTAAAAGAAGTATTAAAAATAAATAAATTTAATTTATGGTTAGGAAGAAATCAAAAAATATTAAATACTTAATTAAATATATTTAATAGATAAAGATATATATTTAATGGTGGCAAACGTTGCACCTCTGTTCTTCTCGTTTTTTAGACTTCCCAACTGAAAAAAAAAAAAATACAGACACCCAAAATGAATATATGATAAGTAGGTGAAAAATTACTATTAATGCTTCAACAAATTTTCTTAGATAGATTGGTGAAAGCAAGAAAATGGAGCTTCTCTTTAAAAGCTCATTTGCACAAATAAGTCATATTGCAAAAACATGATTCCAAACAAATCCCAAATCCAAATAAATCCTTTTGCCTATTGAGAAGTCAGTTTGGGACTCCAAATATGATCCCAAATACACCCTAAATCAGTCAAAGAAAAGACTTCATTGATCCATCTTTGAGGTCTTTTATATATTTTTTTAGGGGGTGTTTGGATTATCTAAAAAACACTGTTTTTCAAATAGAGGCAAATTCCTCCATATATTTATTTCGTATAATGTAAAAACACTTTTAAAACTATGGATTTATTTCCATTCGTAACATCCTCTTTAAACTCCGTAAAATCACTTCTAAAACTGTGGTTTTGTTTTTACCCAAACATTTTTTTTGTCTCTCTACCTACCTCTGTTTGTGTTTTTGCATCTATAAATTTGTATATCGTGTGGGGGTGATATATAGCATATTTAGAGCTAGGAAATAAACCAAATCTATCGGCCCGGCTTGTTTAGATTTGAAAATAGTAAGAACTAGGTTTAAAATTTTTCCTTCAAATGAAAAACAAGTTTAAAAGGACAGCAGAGTTGGCCCATCTAGACTGTTTTATTTTTTTAAAGTTTTTATATAATACTAATATTATTAATTTTTTAATATTGTTGATGATATTTTAAATATTTAGTTATCATCATTTTGAAATTAAATTTTATAAAATGGTTTAATTTATTTGGTTTTAGACTATAATTTGTTCAATTAAATTTTAAAAAATGGGTTAGTTTGAATTTTAATAATGATTTGATTTATATTATATGTATTAATATTTTTAAACCATATATTTGACAATAAAATATTTTTATACTTAGATAACTTGTGATTCTATAATTTAAATTAAAAATTTGTAAGTTTTAACAATAAAATAAAATAATAGCTAGATCACATAATTTAAAAGACAATTTTCTATGAAGAAGAAAATTTTGATATTTTTATTACTAAAGAAGAGCATACTCATAAAGAGGAGTAGTTGATGATAATGATTACAAAGTTTTAAAAAATTGATCATAGTGTTTATTAATTACACAACACAGTTGATATAACTTTTAAATATTGTTACCTTGTTTTTTTTTTTTTTGGATTTCTCCATCCGGTATCCCAGGACAATAGGCATCTTTCAGCCATGACAACGGCCCCAAACTAATCCGGATTGAAGACTTGCAAGGAACCTTTCGGTCGGCGCCCTCTGGCCCTCAAGGTGCTGCGTTCCCACAGCTCGAACTCGAGACCCGTGATTAAGCTAGGACAGTCCCAGTCAGCTGACCTAACTCCTTGGGGTTAAATATTGTTACCTTGTTAATAGATGTTTTAGTGTGTGTTTGGATGCACATTTTCATCGGAATGAGGCAAACATACATTTTTGGTAGGTGGAGGCTTGAACAAAGATTTGGGTTAGCTTTTTCCCGAAAGAGCTATTAGGTAAAAACCATTCCAACGCTGAAACTAATCTGAGGAGCTTTTACCAGCGCATTGTGGAGAGAGAAAAGATGACAACCAAAAAAGACAAAATTGCTCCTAACAAATCTAATAATTTGATATTATCCGTCCTTAATATTTAATATAAAAGTTAGATATATAATTTGAAAATATTAAAAAAAATTAGTTAAGTTAGTTATTGGTAATAAATTGATTTGTTTTTCCTAAAATATCATGTAATTACCATAAGAATTATTTTGGGCTAAAATGAATAAATATTAGAAATAAAATGGATTGAAATCTTGTATTTGGTATTTTTAAATTTTTTCAATAATATATTAAATATTTTTATAATTACATTACACTTTTATTTTAATTTAAGTTGACAAAAGCCAGATGAAATTAAAGCAACTTTTGTCACTACTAATCCAAACACACCTTTAAATGTTTTTGAATATTGATGAATGTTTAGATAGATATGATGGTATTTTATGTTTGTAACTTAATTTTATTTATATTTATATCTTTTATCAATAATTTTATTGTTTTATTTTTATTTTTTAATAAAACATATGAAAAATATTAAAAATTACTTTTTTTAAAAAAACAGGTCAAAATCGTGCAGGCCAGCTTGAATCTGTCAGTTTAAAAGTTGGGCAAAGCAAAATGAGATATTTTTAAAATTTCGGCTTGTATGACCGACTTATCTAAGCCGGTAACCCTATAAGGCAAACCCATTCGAGTGCCTAGTGCCCAATAGCATCAAGGATTTTCTTAAGATTTATTTGATTGGAGAGAATTGAAGGAATGAGGATTTTTAACGACTTTAATTTTTAAAAATATATAATAAGTGAAATTATAAAATTTAAATAAAAAATGAAATATTAAATAATAGTGAAAATTTTATAAAAAATAATAATAAAAATAACCTTATTTTTTCAATTTTTAAAATCAAATTTATTAAAAAAATTTCTCATTCCATTTTTCTCCAACCAAACCTAAGGAGGTGATACCGATTCTATATCTAGATCAATATATACGGAAGAACCCAGGGGTGTGGTTGAGCGGTACAGGCTCATCTCCTCTCAACCAAGTATTGAAGGTTCGATCTTCGCTTTGGGCATAAAAAAGCTTTAAAGCCCCGGGCTAACTCTCTCACCCATCGAGGTGTCTACAAGCTAGCGAAGGGATTAGTCACCAGGTCCGCTGGTGGATACCCTGATGTTTCATCAAAAAATATATATATGGAAGAATATAATATTAGTTGACAAAACAACTTCAGCTAAAAGAAATTATATTTGTGCTACTATTCTATCAAGTGATCAACAATTGATTGCTTTTTATGCTTTTAATCTTTTAACATGGAAACAGTTTTATAAAGTCACACATCAGTTAAGCTCCCCCTGGGGAAAAAAATGCCCACTTGATTTGTAGCTAAAATCCGCAATAAACGTAGTCCCTCCAGTTTTTGTTATAGAACATCTTTTAGGATGAATTCCAAATTCGTCACAAATTTCTAAAAAGAAAATTTTATCATAATTCAGTATTCGAATGCCCAGTGTTTTCCTCCTTTAACATTTAAAAAAAAAAAATACTCTAGTTCTAAATATAAAGTCTACTTTGTCGTAAAGTGTAAATTACATTATAAAGTGGGTTCAGAAGAGTAGTATTTTTATCTGTGTTTCTCTCCTCCTTTTCATTCAATTTAAAATTTTTTTGACAAGTTAATTTTTTCAATTGTAATGAAGTAATTGAAAGTGACTTTTAATGAATAAATTGAGTGCTCTTCTTTAATGAGGCAGTTGAAAAATTAAGTACTTCCATAATCAAAAGTTGAAAATGACCTGTAGTTATTTATTATTTTCTTTATAAAAGATATTTAGAGGATGTTTCAAATTTTTTTTCTTAATTTCTTATTTTACTTCTATTTAATTATTTATTTTAATATTAAATGCATTCATGATCTCACAGCTCAAGCCTCTACTTACAATCTTTCTTTACTGTACATTCTCTTTCTTTCACCATCCAACGTTTCTTACTTCTTGGACCTGTTTGGGAAGATTTAAGAAATTCTTTATAAGCATGTTTTACATAAGTCGAGACAAAACTCCTATCACATACTTGTCTTGTATTTTATAAATTACTATTAAAAAACTACTTATAAACTGTTCCATACGGTACTTGTGAGCTCAAAAACCGAATAGGAGTTAACAACGTTTCTTTCCTTCTTATTGGCTCAGAAACCGAATAGAAAATGAATTTGAAGCCTCTTCCCAGTGGATCCCCGCCTCGTTTTGCACTATTTTAGCTTTTCAACAGTAATTTTAAAAAATTCAAGATTTCTCGTTTATATGAGGAAAAAAAATTATCCCAGTTTATATAAAAACTTTTTTTTAAGTGGTTATAGGGCTGCCAAACGCCACTTATCTTCTCATCCAAGCCTGGTTCTGCACTTTTTCACCATCCTTGTTGTCTCCTAGACACGGTGATTCATGACTTCATATTGTCAGAACAATTCTGTCACATCAAAATATATTCATATTTCTCGTTTTTGGCTCTCCATTCAAATTTCAAATTTCTGGGTTAACTCTTTTTTTATTTATTTTTTCAGTATAGAATCTAATTTTTAAATTGATTTTATTTCTAAATATAAGATTCATTTTTTATATTTAATAATTTTTTAAAATTATTTTTATAGATCTCTTTCAATTATAATTAAGTAAAAAAAATAAAAGAGATATTAATATAGAAAGATAATTATGGTGTTTTAAAAAAATATATCATTTTTTTATAATTAACTAACTTATTTAATTTTTTTAATCTAATCAGACTAGTTAAATAAATGAGTAGTTTTTTTTACCGTCTCAGGGTAATGAAATTAGAATCCCTCCTTACATCAACTTTGTTTTTCTTTTTATAACTTCCATTTCTTCATCAGCGTATTCTGACTCTTTCTTTCTCTACTCCTTATGTGCGGGTGCTCAAGGTTTGGGAAAGTTTTCACATTCCATCATACGAAATGGTACGTTCTTCTTCTTCTTCTTTCTGTTCTTTCTCTGCGTCTTGAAGCTTATGCATTTTTCATGGCATCCAACGATGATTCTGCAATTTTAGAGATTTTAGAATAAAGTGGTTAAATATTTTTGGGTTTCCAGAGTAACTCAGGAAATGACAAGCTTTTATGATACTGAGAAGAAGGGCAGCAATTGGTTCGACAATGGCAAAGAGGTGATTTTGAATATGATCATCCCTCTGCTCGTGAACTACTGAACATCGTTGCTTTTACATCTAACCCTGCCCTGCTTTGTTTGTTATTGATACTTGTTACACGAGGAAGATAAGGAAGGTATTTCTTTTGGGTGATGCATGAATGTTTCGCATGTTTGAGGTAGCTTGATTTGATTGATATGTAAATATGTTGGCACTTGGCAGAATTTATCAAATGCTAATAGCCTTATTAGCATTTTGGGTGTCTTTTCTCTCCCCTTCTGAAACGTTTTTCCTATTTATTTTTAAAATGAGTAATATTTTATATCAAAAATTTGAACTATATATTTTTTTGCTTATAATATATTTAAATGTGACTCATGAAGTGGAATCTAATATTAAAAAGAAACACAAAATTAATCAACAACAGAAGAAGAGGTAGCTGACACGTCAAATATGTTATCCAGTGGCATAAGAAGTCATAAATTTGATTCCACTTAGAACTTGAGTTATTAGTGCCTATCCTTTAATTGAAAAAAGAAAATTAATGGTGAAATCAATTCTAAATAAATGAATATATTTTTATTAATTTTGATTATTCTATATTAAAGATAAAAAGTCTTTAATAATAGTTATTTCTGGTTTTTGGTATTAAGTGGGATGTAGAAAATGCCAGCAGTCTCAGCCATTGGTTTGCCCATGGTGACAAGTAAAAGTGATTCACTCACACTTGTCAACAAGAAAACAGGTTGTGCCTCTGTTATGATATCACTCCATCTCCATGGTCTCTGTTTTTCCACTCTTCGCTGAGGCATCCTGCGTTTTCTTCCTCACTTAGCCAGCTTTTATTTATAAAATCATATCTTCTTATTCATCTTCCCCAGGTATATGGATATCTTCCTTTTTCTCTGCGTTTATCAGGGACAAAAATATATATGTGTGTGTATGTAATTTGCTAATTACCAAGGCTATGTTTGGATTGCAGGTGGAAACAGTAAAAGCTCCTAGGAAAATGCGAAACTGAAGTTTGCAGCTGAGTTGGACACAAATGGTTGTTTGGCTGGGGCTAAAAACCCAACCAACTTTTGACCTTCAATCTCAGTTGAACTTAATGGAGGAAAATATGACTTTTCCATTTCAAACTGTAGTTTCACGCTTTCTCATAGATTTTTATAGCTGAACTTATTTTTCTATTTAATCATTTAAACGACTTTTAACTTTTTCAACTAATTTTTTATAAGCACCTATCCAAATATAAATCACATTACACTAACTGATTTTTACTTTAACTTCAGTTACAAAGGTCAGTTGGACCAGAAGTTAGTTTTGCCCAATATAAATCCAAACACATCCCAAACCGATGGAACTGGTGAACCTACCAGTTTGATTGGTTTAGACCAGGTGTAAAAATGGGTTGACTGTAGAGTTTTTTTTTTTTTTTAACTCCCCCGAAGGAAAGTTCAAGTGACTTGGGTTATAAGACTTCACTAAAGAGCACTTACATATTGAACCACAAATTTGTTTTTCCATGTACACAATTAAATGAGTTATAATGTTGTTGTCCTAGATTTTGCTGTATATCCATTATTAATACACTATTGGTCCTAAGACCTAGTTGTCTTACTTATAAATTGATATCTAATCTAATAACACATAAGTATTTTATAGAGATCATTTAATATATGCTATAATTAAGTAATTTAATAACTTTCTTAATCTTTTCTAATTAGTCAGTTAGATCTTATATTAAGGATTGGAGGTAGTATTAATTAGATGACTGGATGTGTCGTGTGTTGTGTAAAATTTCAAACATGAGTTTTTTTTTTTTTGGTTTTTACCAGCAAAACATGAGTTGTTTAGGATTTGTATATAGTGTGATTAATTATGAATATAATACTAAAAATTAAGCTATTCATTATTTAAGAATAGTCACCTATTATAAATTTTATATCAAGTGTTGATCTTGATTGATGATTGATACGTTAGTTTAGATGTGTTGTTTGGTTGGTCTCTGTGTTGACATTTGGTATTGGGAAACAAATATGACAAAGAACGTATTTTGAATTTTGGCTCCAATTTTGACTGTTGTTTAATGTAAAACAACGCTCTTTTGTCCTTTTCTTCCCCACAGAGGAACTTGTTCATCCATGGGCGCTATTGAAAATTCCAATATGAAGCCAAGATATTCAGCCACTTTTCCAGAGGTCTCTCTATCCCTGTGGTGTTCTTTTCTAATTTCCAGATCTTTGGTACGTTTGGAATACTAAAAGAATACAATATATTGCATTTCAGGTAAAGAGAGGCAGAGTGCGAAAGAAGGTAAAGACACAAACACTATAATGATCTTCTAAATTAGTAGGCATTGTACTGACTCTGATGTTCGTTTTTAGTGTTTGTTTGGCCATGAAAAAGGCAAAATGAAATGTGTGATTTACTATTATTATGCAGTTTGTGACAAAAATTGTAATAATCTAATGTATCTTGAGCCTTTGCGGGTAGATATATAAGAGGTGCCAATAATGATAGTAATTTACTTATCCATAAATTAAAGTTCTAGTTTTTCTTGGAATTTTTGCGATTATGTGGACAAGTAAATAATGATACTAATTTACTTGTCATATGCACATATTACTAGCTCTATCCAGAGGTCAGATAGATGAGAGTGTAAATTATTGTTTGTTTCGGATTTCACGAATCATCCGGTGTCTTATTGGATAGAAATTTTGAACAGGTTATACGTGGGAAGCCAGAAAAAGGTTTGAGGTCAGTCTAATAATTAATTTACCTGTATTGCTACATAATCTCATGATATATTGCAGAGTGTAGAAGATAATGAACCCCCCTTTTTTAATTTTTACTCTGTATTTACGCAGGCCAAAGCGATCAACCATTGAATCTGAGTCTCTTGCTTTTGAGCGAGCAAAAGAAGTTCAAGCAAATCTATCCATTCAATTTCCAAGCCTTATCAAGTTCATGCTCCCATCACATGTTTCTGGTGGATTTTGGCTAGTAAAATTCCTTAACATGAAACCTAAGCATTGCTTTTTAGTGTTTGTTACTAGGTTCACCATTGAAAATAGTCATTCTGGTCTTAAATGTAGGAGCAAGTTGAGCATGATTGCTTTGATTCTGAGTCTCCTGAATTTATAATTTCTTCCAAACTATCTCTATTAATTACATATATTAAAAGGTTTGTTTATATCAATATAAGTAAATGATCAAAGGGAATGTTTTAGAAAAACTGACACACATGTTTTACAAATAACTAACTCTTTGAATGTCTTTAATCTTTATGAATTAGTTATCTAGCTACTATATTTAGGACTATAGAGAGTGTCAAGGGATAGGTGTATTTTACAGCTAAATAAGGGGTCCTTCAAAACTATTTTCACATGTTATATGTTCTTATTGAAAATTTTGATAACAAACAACATGGGAAGTACAAGAATGATGCACTTGGAACTAAATTTTGTTATGGCAGGGTCTTCCTAAACCTTTCTGTAAAACGCATTTGCCGAAGGTTGATACTACAATTGTTTTGGAAGATGAGAGTGGAAGAGAATACGAAACAAAATATCTTGCCGACAAGGTGGGCTTAAGTGGTGGATGGAGAGGCTTCTCCACGGCTCACAATTTACGTAAGGGAGATGTTTTGGTTTTCCATTTAATCCATCCTTGCAAGTTCAAGGTAATAGCTTCAGAATTATGAGGAAATTAATAAGTGAGACCTTGTCATAATACTTCATTGTTTGAGTCATTTTAGTAATCTTTAGTGTCTTTCATGCCCAAAGGTATACATCATACGATCTCATGGGGCAAACGAGGTGGATGTTGCGCTTAGCCTTCTACATTTAGATGGTTGCGTGAAACAACATGATTCTAGTAAGTTTCCTATGATTCTCATTTCTTTTCTTACTTTTTGAGATTCCTCTGTTTCTAATTGCTTCTTAAGTTCTTATCTCTCTAGATGTTTCTCAAGAAAACGATCCAAGCGATAGCACGATGATATGTGATGCTAACATGCCGTCATTAGAACAACCTGAAAATACTAGTGATCTAGATCAAAATCTTGGCTATGAAGTTTTGAATGGGATAAGATTATCAGGATCTACAATCACTTTCCAACAAGTCACAAGTATTGAGAATTTCAGCATTGTGGTTGATGGTCTGGTACTTGACTCAGAACTATCCAAACACCTCAAGACCAAGTACTATGAACTTTGTTGCAGTCAGGGAATGTTTCTTCATGAGCATCTTCTTGAAGGTCAGAACTGTAAACTTGTTGTTGGAATGATCTGCGAGACCATTAATATTGCCGATGCCATTAGAGCCAGCAAGATCACAACCTCTTCGGATAGTTTTGAGGTGTGGTATAAATCTTTAAAAGCCCTTGAAATGTTCGGCATGAATGTTAGTTTCTTGCTTGCTAGGCTAGAACAACTCATGAGTTTAGCTTCAAAATCCAAGAGGTACACAGAGACGAGAATTAAACGAGATCAAGCCGAGGAGGAAAAGAAAGTTCTTGAACAAAAAATTGAGGAAGTGAAAAAGACCATAAGGAGACTTGATGGTGAGCTTGACTCCCAAAATCAGAACCTTGAGAGATTAGAAGCTGAGTTTCAAGATCTGGCTAAAACTCCCTGGTGATATAGCAAAGATGATTTCTCATATGTTTTCCAATTAGTTATAGAAATATGACATGAAAATATCTGAATATTTTTTGTCTTTTGGTAAAGTTTGAACTTAGTCTTATGAGTAGAAAATGTTGTGGGGAATACTTTTTTTTTTGTTTTTTGTTTTTTTGGTAGAGCCTTTGGAATTGCTCCTGTATTTCATCTGAGGCTCTAGGTTACTGACTAGCACAGGGAAGTCGATACCTTGCATATTCTTTTGCCCGGTAGTGCAGGACGGGAGTTGTATATCAATGATCAGAAACTTTACAGATCTTGCTGTAAATGTAATTAATTACATCCTTTAACTTTATGGATTAAGTTGTGCCTTTTGAGCTTCTAAGATATTTTACCACGACTAAAACCCACAATGAATAAACAATACTCTTTCAGTCTTTAACATAAGATCTAATTATGGAGTTGATTTTGATTCTAAATATAAAATCTATTTTTTATATCTATTAATTTTTTTCAAATCACACTTAGTGATACTCTCTCAGCCATAATCAAGTATGAGAGGAAGGGAGAATATAATGAAGATGATTAAGATATTTTAAGAAAAACATGTCATATTTATTATAGTTAATTAATTTGTCTAACTTTTTAAATATAATCAAGTTAGTTAAATAAGTTTTAGATTAAAGATCAGAGAAGTATATACATCAAAAGTGTATTTAACTAAAAATTTACTCTGACATGTTTATGTGTGTCAGTCCCCGGGGAAAAAAAAAACAAATAGAAAAGAAGACTAATGATGGAAAATATTGATGTTCAACACTGATGATTATATCTGCAAGCTCTTTCCTTCATTCTGATTTTTTGTGTTCATCATTGATAGGCCTCTGTTTGATTGGTCAAATGTTGTTGTCTGCATTGTAACAGGTTCCCCCTTTGATGAATTTGTGACCAGTTTTTGAAAGATACTAAAGATAGAATACATTTTGATTTCACAGTTGATTCTTTGGCAGGTTCTACTTGGGAACCAAAGCAGAAACATGCTACTGATTCTTTTGGTTTTTCCATTAATTCTGGACTAAATGATGGAGAAATATGACATTAATTAATGTGAGTCATGTTACAAAAAATCAGGGTCTTTTACTTCAATTAACATTAAGCATCTCTCTTAATTTTTTTTATATAATTAGTGTGTAAATTTTGGAGGAAAAAAACAGCTAAATTTTTGCAAAAGGTAACAGATTATGCCTCACATGAATATTGCAAAGGGGGAAGTCAATGGTATAATGGACTGCCCTCAAAAACGAAAACGAAAACAAAAACAAAAGAAGAGAGAGAGCAAAATTATTTACGCGTAGTATCCTCGCAACCTTTTCCCCTCATGTGCCAGCTGTCTTGTTTAGCTGCTAGAACGGTAGAACCCACAAATGTTGCGTGATCATGACGTCATGGAAGCGCGGGATGGTGACAACAAACTTGTTTTACAAGTGAAAACCCTATCCAATATCTAGATGGCGGAATGTTAAGAATAGATATAAACTTGCAGTGATTAAATTAAATGAAGAAAAAAATTTAGTACTCTCTCGTTTCTTTTTATAAGAAATGACTAACTAAATCTCTTGAATAAAAAATTGGTTAAAACCAATGAATATGTAAAAATTAGAGTAGTTTTTTTTTTCAAAAATATTCTTATTTTTATGTGAGAGATTATAAAGAAGAGAATAAAAAATTTCATTAATAAAAAATATTTTAGAAGAAAGTAAATATGTGATGTTAAAAAAATTTCAGGTGTGATAATAAATGTATTAATATTAAGAGAGAATTCTAAAAAAAATACTTTTGAATTTTAAAATTTTAAATCGGTTTTATTTATTGCTCTTTAATAACAATTAATAAAATTTAAAAAGTAAATGACCATACATTTTTGTTGTCATTAAATTTTAGAGGTATATTTTTTTAACATTTTCCTTAATATTAAAATGAATAATTAATGAGAACTAATAAAAAAAATTAAGACATCATCTTTTTTTAGCTGAAAATTGAGACATCATCTAAATATTTTATATAAATAAAAACAAGCCATGGGCTATAGTTGTTTCTTATTAAAAAAAAAAGGAGTATTTTTTTTTCCAAATACAATAGCTAATTGAAAGGTTCATTTTGATTTTAAGCATAAAACTTCAATAATGAATTCACATATCTTAAATTTATAAATTTTTAAGTCATTTTTTATTGCATAAATTAAAAAGAGTTTTCAATCAATAAGAATAATAATTAAATAATTTTATTTTAAATAAATATATATTTATTATAAATAATTAATCTAACTAATTTTTTTTAATATTCATGAGTTATTTATTTAGCTCATATATTTAGTTATTAATTCTGACTCGGTGAATAAATAAAATCATATTAAAAAATTCGTTTTCATTTTAATATAATAATCTGAATATTAATGGAGTTTAGACAGTAATTGAATAATTATATACATAAAGAAAATATTGATGTTTTGGGCAATACAAAATGCTGTTTAAGAAGCTTCCGGCTTCCGAGAGTGAAGGCGGCTCGTGGCTTAGTGTCCATGATTCTTCTTTATATATCCACGAGCATGATTCTACTTCTAGACTAAGATACTCATCGAAGTAGAAGTAGCCGTCAACAATCATGAGGGCCGCCGGTGATGCGATCGTCCTCCACCCTGTAGGCAACTTCAGCAACGTCACCGGCAACCGACGCAGAATCAAAGAGAAGATATTTGCCGATGTGTTCAACCGGGACAAGCCCGTCGATGCTGCCGGCGAGCCAGAACCGGAGGAGAGGCTGCTCGTCCGCCGCCGGACTGGTTCTTTCAGAGACGCAACCCCTTCCCGAAGCAGAGTGAAAAGGGAAATTCTTGCTGCGATCTTCAATCGGAATTCGTCCGGCGGGAGATCGTCGGATCTGGTTCTCCTCCGCTTCCCAAACGGTTCCTTCGGTGATTCCCTCCTTCATTGTTTCGAAGTGCTTCGCTATCTGTTCAAAAGGGAGCCTGCGGATTAAGAATTGGAATCTCTGGTTTCTTCTCCGATCCACAGGTTACTAGTTTCGATGGTTTTGATTAGGATCCTTCATTGTAAAATTGTTGTAATTATCCTTTCAGTCAAAAAGAATTGGAACTCCGTGTTTCAGGCTTTGAGCCGTTTGTTATGGGAGGCGTTGTGCGATTTCACTGTCAATGTTGAATTGTTGATGTCACTGTAAGCATCAACTAGGAATTGAAAGTGGTTTCAGTGATTTGGTTCATTATTACGTGTTGCCTTATGTCGCCTGTGTTTAATTTAACGTTGATGACGACGCCAATGCGAAATTGGTTCGACCGATTTGCTAATATTTATTTTCTTTTATTACATTTAAAAAAATTTTAAATTATTCACTTTTTATTTTTTATCTTAAAAATATTTTTATGAAATAATTGGTTTTAAACTATAATAATCTGAATATATATAAACCAAATAACTTGATTTTAAATTATATGTAAACTAAGTAACTATAATGATCTTCTAAATTAATGGACATCGTACTAACTATGATGTTCGTTTTCAGTGTTTGTTTGGTCATGAAAAACGCAAAATGAAAGTTTGTGACAAAAATGGTAATAATCTAAAGGTATCTTCAGCTTTTGCAGGTAGATATATAAGAGATGCCAATAATAATAGTAACTTAGTTATCCATAAATTTACTTGTCATGTGTTGATATTACTAGTTCTATCCAGAGATCAGATGGATGAGAGTATAAATTATTGTTTATTTCGGATTTCACGAATCATCCGGTATCTTATTGGATAGAAATTTTGAACAGGTTATACGTAGGAACCCAGAAAAAGGTTTGAGGTCAGTCTAATAATTAATTTACCTGTATTGCTACATAATCTCATGATATAGTGCAGAATGTAGAAGATAATGAATCCGCTTTTTTTTTCTTCTTAATTTGTACTCTGCGTATTTCTTAATTTCTTATATTAATGATCGAAAGTAATACTTCTCCGATCCAAAATATAAGACCTAATTATTGAGTTAGTTTTGATTCTAAGTATAAGACCCATTTATCATATTTATCCATTTTTTCTAAATTACCCCTATGGATACTCCCTTAACCATAATCAAGTAGAAGAAGGAGAGATGGTATTAAGAAAGATGATTACGGTTTTAGAGAAAATGTGTCACTTTTCTTATAATTAACTAACTTACCTAACTTCCTTAATCTAATCAAATTAGTTAAATGGGTCTTATATTAAGGATCGGAGGAATAGCATTTATAATAGCGGATAGATTGTATTTTACATGAAATTTAATGTGAGTCATGTCATCAACAATTAGGTCCTTGAATCGAACTGATACAAGCTTTTGTGGGAGGTTGAGTTTTCGTTTCTATTAAAAGAAATAATGAAAAATAATGAGCGTGTAATTTAAGCAAAAAAGTGAAGAAAAAATGGTGGTCTTTCTTGTTGGCTGTTGGTAAAGTCTCTCATTTTTATCCTCTCACTTGTTCATGGAGGCACGCGAGACGAGCAGAGAAAGTGACGACGTGAACGAGTTTGCCTTCCCATTTTCTTCCCTTGTTTTGTTCTTTTTAAGTAGCAGTCATCTGGGGACAGTCGTTCTTGTCAAGGCGCACAAATGTGAACTCGTTCACGCTTTGGACAAGGTTAGGCAGGGCATTCGAGAAAATATTTCTGAGACGGTCGCATTTGGTTTTTTTTTTTTATCATCTTAATGTTTTATCCACTTCTCTAATAAGTAAGGGTTAAAAATATTTTTTAAGTATATCTAATACCTTCAACTATTTGGAGGGAGAGAGAATGAGGAGGGAGAAAAACTGTTATGTCCCCTCCCCCAAAAATTTTCTCTCAACATCTTAACATATGGAGAGATTTGAGAAAGGAAACAAGATTTTCATTATTGTTCTTCTTCTTGTGCTTGCTTAGACTTTCTTTCAATTTTTTTATTTTTATCTTAAAATATTTTATGAAATAATTGGTTTTA